ACGTACCCTATTAAAACGCAATCAAAAACGCAAAAAACCGCATCTAAAATAGTATAAATAGAAGCAGAGTTCTTTACGGTAAGCCTTAAACCTAACCATCTCCCTTCAGTGGGGGGAATTTCGACACGTATATTATATAAAAACACGTGCGTATTCGAATGCAGCGTTGTGTCAAAATTTCAAAGGAATCGGTAGGAATAAACGAACATTACATTTTTATTTATATAGATAGCTAGAAGATGATCCGCTTTAGTTCATTTTCACAGAAAAGCATAATGTCTCGCAGAAAAGCAAACTTAGGGCGTCGTACTCGTAGCGCCATCTGTTGGACGTAAAAGTTTTAATCTAGATTATATCTTTTAATTTATATGAATGTTTAACGGAATAATATACAGCCTATGTCCATCCTAAAGTTCCATTCTAAATATTGGTGAAAGAATTTTTTGAAATCGGATGAGTAGTTTCGGAGATTACCTGCTGCATACAAACTTACTTACTGTACATACTTACTTACAAACATTACCTCTTTATAATATTAGTACTGTATAGATAAAATGAGATTAAAAATCGTGACGTCGTTTCCTGTTTAGCGAAAACAAAGTTTCTCTAGATGTAACTCTTATGTCGTTGAATAATATTTTTATTTCTCCATATTTATCTTCAGATATTTTAGCACGTGGTTGCATGCTGTCAACACGAGCTTAGCTCGTGTTGACAGCATGCAACCATGTCTGAAGCTTATTCGAGGAATAAGAATAGTAATAATGATGCTAACAATACAGTAAAATAATAAAACAACTGTGTTACATACTAAAAAAATAAAATAAAATAAACGCAAAGGAATTCGCAAAGGATCGAACTCCTGGCATGTGGTCTAGCGTCTAGGACCTTATCCAATTGGTTACTGCCATTTTTCCGATACATACAACTTCCAAGTTTATAAGCTAAACACTCAATTTTCAGAGGCCCGTTTTTCGAAAACGTTTGAGAAGTTGGTCTTATTATTTGGATAAGGAACTATTTGTGTTTAGGGCTACGTGCTCGCTAAGTTTCGTTCGAATCGTAGAGGACCGCATCTGGCCGTCTCCTTATTAATCTTTTTATGCTATAAAATGGCAATCTGTAAACATTGGTTAATATCATTTATCTATACCATAAGTAAACTATTAATAACTATGAAGTTTTTTATGTTTTTATTACAATATAAAATGGAATACAAAGGATCAATAGAATAATAATTAACTATTGTAACACACTCAAGTCTTGATCTAGAAAATAACAACTATGTTTAATTATCAGCACATATATTGATTGCCTGTTCAAAAAATTCAGCTTCAACGCTTAAATGACGACTTGCTTACATACGAAGGAATATCGGCCAAATTTCGTACGTCTTATTTTAAAGAGAGAGAGAGAGAGAGAATTTATTCTGTAGGATGAAATTTGAACAACACTGGCACGCACGAAAATTCATGCAGGTACGCAAAAAGTAACCAGCATTTCCATGCTCATGCTTTGTAATTTAGTTTCGACAACTGTAAGATTTTATTTTTGACTCTAGGTTGAAATAGGCATCCAGAATTCCATACAACTATACATCAACAGTTATTCTACACGATTATTCCTTTTGATTTTCGTTACACACATTTATTAATTTAATCGCGACAATGTTATGTTGTTGGAATTCGCGATTCCTTTAACTTAATTTACAAATTATGTTAGACGGAAAGGAGGAAGGAAGAGGGGAATTATTGCGAGCGAGGTTTCTTCAGGTCCCAATATGGAGGACACATAGTTTCGAATTGAATACCGTGACTTCTTGTTTTCACCAGAAATTCCTGTATAGTTAATCGGGCTCCTAAGCTTTCCATTTCTGGTCTAGAATTTCATCTAACTCCGTTCTCGAGTTTAAGAAAGGACCAACAGACAACGGGCGCCAGTGGGAATGTCTACAAGTTTTGAAAATTGCAGCCCAACAAAACATTAAAAATTTAAAATCTAAGTCAAATCTGTTTTATTCTGAAATCTCTCATTAATAAGAAAAAGATTGTACATATGTAATGCTTGCGATTACTGAGTGAACTTAAAACCATACAATTTGATGTGCCTTTTGTAATTGTACTGTACATTGTAGATAAGAATCTAAGGTTGAATAGGTTTTTTCTGTTGCTATAAACATACACGTAATAAATGACCTGAAATATATTATTTATTGTTGTGCCGAGCAAGTTTTATAGGACCTTTAGGCTTGTTAAAAAGCGCGTTTCACTCGATACTGCCGTATTGTATTTTTATGTACAAAACCATTAGCGGATTAAGACCTTCCGGGTCTCCTAAGTACAGAAACTTGGGCCCCTCTAAATAATTTTATTACATCGTAAAATAAAAACATCTAGTTGTAGCTATATAATTATTTATAAATTATAGTATACAACTGCAACAGAAAAAAATTTTTTTTTCTAATTTCAGGGCCGTAGGCATGTATATTGCGCCTGACGGCCTAGCGACAAATCCGGCGCTTCAAACCTTATGTTATTTTTCCTTTTATGTTTCATTAATAAATTTTTTCTTTTGCCATAAGGATTCATACTCGTATGTTACTGGCATGAGAATACAATATGATGGCAGATGGTGGTCACGGTGATTCCCTAATTTAGTAATGAAATGACATTCAAAAACTTCACAAAATTTATTATTTATTTCATTATTATAAATAAAATTTGAAAGTTTAAATAAATTATATTTCATATTCATCACAGTCTTTCTTATTACGATGATCACAATCCTCCCTTTAAAACATATTTAAATGTTGTATATATAATATCACCATTCAAACTTTAATCTATGTACTCTGTTCTGCAATTTGTGACATGGTGGCAAAGAATAAGATGCACTGGTGCCCAAGAGTTGGATTCGTTTCATGTTGCTCTTTCTCTTCTATATATGTAAATATTTCACTTTATAATAGCAAACTTATATATATATATATAAGTTGGTTAACATAGAGCAGAAATATTCCTGAATTGAGAACTGTAAAATCTTGTAATAATTTTTCTAATGTGAATCATATTTTTATTAGTGAGTTATTTTTATTCAATTTTTACACCTTGTTACGTTTTTTTCTGTTGAAGGCATCTGGAAAGGGTCTTAAACAACAATAATCTTTTTGTTTTCTTAGAAATAACTTTTTTCATTTCTTAACTTTTGTTTTATACACTGAAAAATTTAATAAAACAAACAGTAATGCATAATTTAACCAAGCATCTTTTCACGTAATTATCATTTTTAGAAAGAAAGAAAAGTTTTTGAAAACATTATTTGAAAACCATATGCTTAAAACTTTATGATGTTAAAAATAATTAGAACATAATGGTTATGATGTTAAGATTTCTAACTTAAAATTTCTTCAAATTTAGTCAAACTACATATTTCACAATCATATAATTATTTCTCATCATATATTTAATGCATAAAAGTTACTCATGAATCATTTAGCAAAGTTACAGGATGGAAATATAATATTGATACATTATTCTTGCCTGCCCGTTACTTACCATTCAAATTACTAAGTCAAAATTACTATTATATGATATGCTTTAATGGAATATGGAATAATCTCTCCTTAAATTTTATTTATTTATTCACTTTTATGTTTTGTATTCAAATTATTTGAACATTCTAATTTGGGTTCCCATAGCAACATGTTCTTCATTTTTGCTTTCCTGAAGATAGGTGAGTTAACTTGAAAGCTACACATAATACTTGTTCATATATACTCCATTTAAGCATATGTTATGTAGATACAGTAGATGTAATTGTTTAGTTGTGGAATTATAGCTTACTAGTTAGTCAAAATTACTTCCTATACTAATAAGCACATTCATTTTACATTTAGCCTCAAAAACTTTGTCATAGTCATTATCAAAAATATGCATGATAATATTAACATAGTTGTACAGTACCTTACATTATTGATCCAACAAAATACAGATTAAAAGTAAAATGAATGTGTTTAATTATCAACAAGGATACTTAATTAATAAACATTAAGCAATCTAAATGGTAAATATTATACAAGAGTAAAATGATTTTGAAGAATTTTTGCATTAGACATATGATAAAAAAAAGTAACTTTCTAATTGAAAATAAAAACTGCTTGACTAAAAATCAAGAAGTTAGAAATCATACCAAAATAAAACTAAACTAAATAGTTTATAATAATTATGATATTTTAAATCTAGCTTTCACATAGGTAGTATCTTTCCAAAAATATTTACTTTATTAAAAATTACGAGAACATAACTGATTAAATTATCTTGCAACTAATGTTGCAAGATAATAAACTAGTGCTGGATATAGATAAAAGAGATAATAAAATTTTAGTGAAATTTCATTTTCATTATTATTCTGGAATAACAATTCCAGAATAACAAATCTGGAATTATTATTCTTTAACATAATGAAAATTTTGAAATTGATAATGACTTCACTTTTGATAATTAAAAAATATATACACAATTGGATTTTCTTATTCGTACCAAATATGAAATAAGAAAATAAAAGAATTTAAAAATGAGCTTTAATAGTCAATGTATAGATGTGTGTAACTGAAAAATAAGAATAATAATTAAATTATATAACAATTAAAATTAAAAATTCCTTAAGAAATTAAGAATAAATAAATTAGATTTTAAAATTTTCAAAGAAATCAAGTCATAACAGACAAGATTAAATTTTTCAACTGAGCTAATGTTTCTATGCAAATTCCAAGAATTCAAATTATGCTTCTCTATCGAATCTTTAACTCTTTCTATGACAAAAAATTCTACAATTTTATCTCCAGTGNTAAAAATTAAAATATTTGTAATGTTTTCAATTTTCTAATAAAACTAAAAAACAGCCTGTCACCTATGAAGTTTTTCTTTCTCGTTTTTAGAATTTGTGCTTGATACAACAGGCTGCATTTTTGGTTGAACTGCTACAAGAACACTTTTTAAGACATTCTTTCCAGCTAGTTCTCTTCTCAATTTTTCCCTTAATTCTTCTGTTTGTTTTTCTTCTCTTGCTTTCATACTACGAAGTAAGGCATCTCTTAATATCTGTTCTTGCTTTTTCAGCTTCTCTTGTCTCTGCTGTTCCTCTTGTTTTTGCATCAACTCCTTTTTTCTTTCTTCTAATTGAATTTGCTTTAATCTTTCTTCTTTTAATTTTCTTTCTCTTTTTTCCATTTCTTCTTTTTCTATCATATCCTGATGAAAAAATAAATTTCAAATGAGTTTTACTGATTACAAAATATTAAATATATTAATATTTAATATCTTATAAAAGGTTAAAAGGTACTGCTAACGTTTAAAATTTTATAACAACCTAATAATATTGCTATTTAGAATTATCATTGTCATAACAGACAAGATTAAATTTTTCAACTGAGCTAATGTTTCTATGCAAATTCCAAGAATTCAAATTATGCTTCTCTATCGAATCTTTAACTCTTTCTATGACAAAAAATTCTACAATTTTATCTCCAGTGTTAAATATCATATTTGAATGGAGTTATTCAACTATTTGTATATAAATGTTTATATCTCAATAAATATTAAAGGTAACTAATAGTATTTAGCAATAAAATAATCAAAAACTATCATTCTATACAATATTTACATCATGTGGATTGAAATTTTAGCAAAACATTTTTATTACAATAATGAAACTGTTTTGATTCTATTGATTTGTATTATCTTGTATATTATTTCAAATATATTTTAAACTCTAATTGTGTACAGAAAGTTAGTTTTTATAAGATATTAAACACTTACAATTCCTAGTACAATTAAGTTTAATTGAAAATAAGTAAATTATTATTTAAGTAATATTAAAAATGTGAAATAGAAAACTATATCTATCTATAAATATTTATAATTAAACTACATTCAACTTAACATTTATATATTTTGCAAAAATGATCAAAATATGAATTATTTTGTAAATAATAAATATCATTTTACATCTTGGGTGTCACAAATATGTGCAACAAATGACATAATGAGAGTTAGTGTGTTATATGGTATTATATGGTATTTGCGTTCTACACAGTATTATTATAATTAACAATTGAATGATTCTAGAAAACAAAAACCTGCTAATGCATACTTTTGATACCCATCATCTAAATTGTTTGTATATGCTCATACTGAACTACAAAATCATCTTAATTTAGCAGCTGAATAATAAAAGAAAAAAATTAATTTTGATCTTTATTTCTAAAGATATACTCTCTCTTTAATTTTACCTATATACTTAAAAAGTTATTTACAATTTTTATCTAAATTACATTTTACAATGAAAATATTTTAAAGAACAATTCTACAAAAAAAATAAAAATTACCTATCAATAAAATTTTTGTATATCTGTAATTAAAATTTCACATTTAAAATTTTGTTTTAATTGTCTGTTATTAAATATACCTTGCATATATTTAGTGTCATTAAAAGTTATCAAAATTATTATTTTTTTTTTAAGGAAATGTTTGGTATTATCAATAAAATAAGCTGTCCTTTCCTCTTTTTAAATTTTATTTAACACTTTCTTATTTCAGATTTTCAATTGCCATAAATATAATTAGGTGTATGTTTATACTGTATTTCAATCTTTTTATTATAATAGTAATTATTTTACTATTTAAAAATTCTAGACATATTTTATTAATTATGTATGCAAAGTTATTTTGTAGGATAAAAACTAAATTGTACAATATATTTTAACTAAAAATAAATTTATTCCTTTTAAGATTAATTAAAGAAAATATGAGAATATAATTAAGCCAATCAGACTAATTATATAAAATCTATATATTATATAATCTGATGTCAGAAATCTTTAACACATACTTTTTCACTTTAAAATATTATAGGAAAATCATAAATAAAATTAACAAAATCAGAAAAACTCGAAAATATAACAATTATGATCGGCAAATTTTATTTTTATATACAGTATACGTACAGTAATGGTTCATTAAAAAAAGATAATTCCTACATTCAAATTTATATTTGTTTTATTTTATGATAAGTGTAATGTTACTAATTGTAATAAGAGTGTACTCCCCAAATTCAACAGTCCTCACTAAAATTCAATAAGCAGAAAACATCCAATCCTAAAATAAGATTTAAAGCTATGAGCTGATAAACTAGGAACAACATTCCATATCATCACATCTGTTAAATATTCCAGAGCCAGAATGGCAAAACTATCTTTTCTATTTAAAGTCCCTTAAAGCATGTCTTTTCTATAAAATAAGTAATATTTGTTTTACGTAAAAATGTTTTAGAAAAAATAATTCAATAATTGCTATTGCCAAAAAAGAAATCATATATAATATATCCACATTATCAACTTATTAAAAGAATTTATTCTTAACTTATATCTAATTAAAATTAAAGTATCTAAATATTTTTACTTCTTAACTGAAAAGATAATTTTTTTTCTATATTACTATTATTTTCTTTAAAGCAAAGATAGATTTATTTGAGGAAGAACTGATTTATAAATAGTAACAATTACCCTTACATACAATTAAATTTAATATTAACCTAAAAATATAAGTTTGTATTTTCTAAAACTTCCTAAATTGCAATTTATGTTAATTTATGAGAAAGTAGCAAATCTAAACATTTTATACTGTATTAATGTTAAATTAGATTTCTTAAAGAATGCTTATATGTATATAAAAATATAATAAATAAAAGCTTGATATCAAAAAATATAAACAATAACAAATATTTCTGATAAATTTTGTACAGTTTGTATTTAATATATTTACAGGTTTATATTAGCATTATTATTAAAATAATAACTTTTATTTGAGTGAAGCCTTCACTTAAATTGTTTGATTTAATAAAGTTTATTTCACATTCACACACATAAATATATATATATATATATAATCTCTTTTATATATATCAATAAAGTATGATTTAATGAAAAAAGTTAAGATTGTAAAATGAAAAATAAACATATTTTTAAAAATTAAAATATTTGTAATGTTTTCAATTTTCTAATAAAACTAAAAAACAGCCTGTCACCTATGAAGTTTTTCTTTCTCGTTTTTAGAATTTGTGCTTGATACAACAGGCTGCATTTTTGGTTGAACTGCTACAAGAACACTTTTTAAGACATTCTTTCCAGCTAGTTCTCTTCTCAATTTTTCCCTTAATTCTTCTGTTTGTTTTTCTTCTCTTGCTTTCATACTACGAAGTAAGGCATCTCTTAATATCTGTTCTTGCTTTTTCAGCTTCTCTTGTCTCTGCTGTTCCTCTTGTTTTTGCATCAACTCCTTTTTTCTTTCTTCTAATTGAATTTGCTTTAATCTTTCTTCTTTTAATTTTCTTTCTCTTTTTTCCATTTCTTCTTTTTCTATCATATCCTGATGAAAAAATAAATTTCAAATGAGTTTTACTGATTACAAAATATTAAATATATTAATATTTAATATCTTATAAAAGGTTAAAAGGTACTGCTAACGTTTAAAATTTTATAACAACCTAATAATATTGCTATTTAGAATTATCATTTAATTTCTTTAGTTAATATTGAAAATACACTTAAAGCTCAAAAATAATATTTTTAAATACTAAACATTAAATAAAAAATTTATAAGAACATTGCAATTTATAGCAATTTTTCTTGTTATTTTTTCATAATCAAAAATCTATCTAAACCTCTAAAGCAGAATTTACAATTTAAAATAAATATCATTAAAAATTAACCAATATTTCAGAAAATGCTAAAATAGAATTTGTAAGTCACATTTTCTATGTGACTTACAAAATTGTGTTTGTTCTCAAAATTTTATCAATTGATTTTGATAAAACTTTGCCATTTTCCATTTATTGCAATGAGAAATCCAAAATTTATTATAAAAAAATGGAGGTCCATAGCTTCATTTTTGAGATACTGGATCATAGCATGAGTGCATGCATCAAAGTGATATCACACAAGTCGTGCACCTTTGTCAGGCAATGTCCCAAGATTACTAACATGTCTTCTATGGGTTTATAGAATTAACAACACTACACCTTACACACTTTTCCAGTAATGGTTTAATCAAGAGAGAAGAGGCAAGAGAATGACATAGACTAGACTAATGTTTATAATGTTGTGTAATTTATTTTATTTTATTTTTTAATTTATGTTTTAATTCATGTTTTCATTTTAATATTTTAAAATATGTAAGTTATTTGAACTTTTGAAATATGCAAATTGTTTGTTTTCAAATTTTTTTTTAATTTAAAATAAGCAGTTATAATTCTGCCATTAGAACTCAGTTCTTTAATTTGTAATGTACAGTAGAACCTCGATTATCCGGACTTCTATTATCCGGATTTTCGATTATCCGGATTGTTCAAAATAAACAAAAATTTTACAAATTTGCTGATTTGCACTTGGCGAATTACGACACTGTTTATGTACATGATGGAATGCATAACTTTTTTGTTTCAACAGCGTCTCACCCAGCACAGTGGTCGTAAACCCTTAAATATATTTTACGTCGTAATAAAAATATAACTTGACATACGTATTTATAAATAATTTATATTCAAATTACATCATTTCTATGACCAAGGGCAGCGTAAGGCATGGACAACGTCGGCCACCGCCTATGCCTCATGGTCCGAAGGGCCTCACGCCTCAAAGATTTATGCATTACTTAAAAGCCGCGAATGCGACGAAAAAATTTTACTCATCATAAAACGATAAATAGTTTGTCAAATTTTTATTCATAAAAATGCAGTTTCAACTGCTTTTTATTTTATAAAATCCATTTTCTTGCACCACTAGAGGACCTTTTAAACAATAGGTAGTCTGTTCGTGCTGGTCAGTAGTAGTCCAAATTCAATACAAACATTTGTTTCTTGAAAATTTGATTCACGATTTAAATACAGTATTTATTTTCAATATTACCAATATATCATCGAAAATAAAACGTGTCGTATTATCATTAAAAGACAAATTAAAGTATTTGTTTCGATTATCCAAATTTTTCCGTATCCGGACTACCTTCATCCCCAATTAGTCCGGATAATCGAGGTTCTACTATAATGTGTTTTTTAACCTGAGGAAGATCTCTGAATGGGGGATCAAAAACATTTGTTTTAGTTAAACTGTTGCTGGAAAAGTGTGTAAGGTGTGTTATTGGTATATTTGTTTCCAGTTTTTTCGACGTGTGTTTATAGAATTGAGTTTGTTCTCAAAATACGATGGGCCAATTTTGATGAAACTCTGCCATTTTCCATTAATTGTGATAAGGAATTAAAAAAAATGTAATAAGGATCCATTTGAATGTAAAAAAATGTTTGTTACAAAGGGTCCTTGACTTCATTTTTGTAATACACTGGAGTCAAAGTGACAATGCATGTGCTCCCTGATATAATTGAAAGTGCCTAATGAATTTTGGGGGAAAAAATAAAAAAAACAGCATCGTGTGCATCTAATGGAAAATAGGTGAAAAAAATGAACAAAAACAATCACCATTGATTGCTTTGTTCTTGAATCACTTCTCTGTACCTGGCCAGTATAAGGATTACATCTGCCATGGCTGGCAGGGACAAGCAGGGTCATGGAAAGGCAGGAGCAAAGGGGGTATATATGTCTAGAGTACCAAGATTATGAGCTGCCAAAATTGCTACATGGGCAAACTAATAAATTCATAGAAAATCATCACACAAGTATGAAAATGTATATTATAATTTTGAAATTTGTAACAGCAGACTAATGAAAGGCTTACCCAAAAGATGCCATATTTAGGTTTAGGTTTGCCCCTGGTGCCAAATGCTCTAGCCATATATACATATAAGTACAGGATAGCCTGTTTTGTGACAGCAAGTGCAAAGTTCACCTGTCTGCCTCCATTAGGTACAGTACAAGGATCATCTCTTCTGTGCCTAACAAGTGCAAGGACTGCTTCTTTCTTTCTGGCTCTGCCTCAATTATATTGCGATATGATACAACAAAGTTGCCCAATGTCCTAGTTAATGATGTATACAATTTCATAGTTTATAATTAATAAGTCTAAATAGACTTGTTAATTTTTCCTCTACATTTCATGTTGATATTTTTGTAACAAATATACTCATATATATTTTTTCAATTATTAGTTGCATTTTCATAGAATTTAAAATCAGTTAGAATTCGTAATAAGCCACAATTCTTTTATGCATAAAACATCAATACAAAACAAGCTTCTCAATAAAACTAAACCTTCTAAAACACAAATAAGACAAAATTAATATTAAATTATTGATAAATTTTTTAAAGACATTTTTAAAAATAAGAATATAATAATTTATCTTTTTACTAGCAGATGAGTCCAGCGTTGCTCGAACAAAAACGATAGCAAAGATTAAGATCATTAGATTATAGCCAATCTTATCTGTTTTCACCGAGTGCAAGAATTAGGTCCCCCCTTTCTGAGACTAATTAGAAAATTTTTTGATATCTGCTCACCACACTGGGATAACGATAATTAAGATTCACAGCAACCACTAACCAGTGTGTAGTACCACTAAGTGATAAATAACAAACGTTTTCATAACCCCTTCTGGGTTCTTCTTCTAGTTTACTAAATTTGAAAAATTTGAAAAATAAGTTGGATCTTCTCGAATCATTCATAAATATAAATTCAAACATAAAATCGAACATTAAGACTAAGAGTTCGAATAAAGCAGTTATACTTACACAGCAAACTTATGTGCATGCGTTCCTATGTCAACTTTATACACTACACGTTCGGACATGTGCACTGTGTATCTTGCTGACCACGCGACTGCACTGCACGATTACCTATCTCGTATATGTATGCATCTTGCCCCTCACCACCCACTGACACCAAAAATATAACACTTACCTAGATGATATCTTTTAATTTATATGAATGTTTAATGGAATAATACACAGCCTACGTTCACCCTGAAGGTCCATTCTAAATATTGGTGAAAGGATTTTTGAAACTGGTGAGTAATTTCGGAGATTACCTCCTACATCCAAACTTACAATCTTTACCTCTTTATAATATTAGTATAGATTAGTAAAGAAAAAGATAAATTACTTGATTAAAAATTGGACTAACATATCAATCGTACTGTAATAGTTTCAGGGCTGGAGTCAGCATAGGCAAACTAAAAAATTATAATTGCCTAGAGCCTAGCTCTTAAAGGAGCCTGTAAATTGATTTGTAAAATTTTATTTCTTTATATATCAACTTAAATGGTTAGAGAACAAAGAGAATATTCCTAAACCAATGAGCTTTCATGCTTTTATTTATTACTGACAGCTGTAGAATATAGATGGAAGTAAGTATCTGTATCAGCAGAATTCAGTATCATATCATCTTTATCTTTTTCAGTAATACCCAGAACTTACGCAATAGGTGGGACCGAGCGATAACTGCATAAATCGAATTCATGTAAGTCGGGGTACAATTTTGCAATTTGTGTAAAATCCAAGTCGGAGGTATGTAAGCTAATAAATGTTCTCATTAATCTTATATCGTCTTTTGATTCCTTCACAGTTACAGGAAATCACCACATAGAGTCTCTCAAGGCTCCATAGATATAACAAACAAAGAAATAAATAACACAAAATAAATTGTAGCTATGTGTTGATTCTGCACAACACATCTGAACATGTAAGCTGAACAATAGTGTAGGAGTGAGTAATCAAGAGTTGCATGGCACTCAAGCAAAAGATGAATCGATGAGATTTGAAAATCGCGTAACTCCGGGTTCGCATAAGTTGCATAAGTAAGGGTAGCATAAGCCGAGGTATTACTGTATTTACTTATAATATAGTAATGAAATTCTGTTCATTCCTTTATTTAGTTGTTTAAAAATGGAAACTGGCTCTGTAGACATGAAATTCTACAAAGAAGCATTTTTCTTCTCAAACATTCATTTGTGGAATTTCTATTCAATGAATCTTTATAAAATCTTTTCCTACAATAAATATTATACATATAGTGTCATATCAGATAATTCAGTATAAATTTTTCTATTTAATTGCTTTAACTGATTATGTTTGAATGTAATGTATAATACAGTGTTTTTAAGAATTTTATCCACTTGCTTGCTACATATTCTTTCAAATAATTTAACATGCTTTTTGAATATAATAATGAATTCCTAAAAATTTTCAATTTTGTACTCACTAATCACTTTGTATTAAAACAATTTGTTTCTGAATCAACAATTTAAAAATAACTAGAATAAAATATGACAGATTGATATACATGTATATATAATTTAGGACATTTATTATATGCATAAATATAATAATTAACAAATTTTTCAGAATTAATACCTTTGCTCTCTCAAATATTGCTGTAAGAAGTCTAATTGTTTCTAATTTTCTTTGTGCTATTAATTTACGACGTTCTTCAAGACAAATTTCATAAGCTCTTCTTTCTTCTTTTCTTTTCTTTTCTTTTAAGGAATGTTTTTCTTGGCGTCTTTTCCTTCGTTCTTCACGTTTTCTTAATTTTTCTATCCTCTTTTTTTCTCTCTCTTGTTCATTATCTTCTTGCTTTTTTCTGACAAAATATTTAATCAATTCTAAATGAAAGATGACATATTATTATCATAACTTTATAATTAATTAAATAATGTGTAATAAATAATATTTATAAAATATAAGTAATTTTTTAATTGGATAAGAAATCATTATATATTAATAAGATAATAAATATTTAAAATAATTACAATAAAAAAATTAAAAATATAATAATAATAATAACTCTCCCGTGGTCACCACCCGGTCGTGGTGGGAGAGCCCAGTAATTTAATGAACCATAGAGCAATGTAGCCTGGAGCACAAGCTCCTGGCAGGGACACCCATGCCAGTAAGGTCTATGGGGAGAAATGAAGCTAAGAGTGACCACACACCCACATTCTGTGGAGATAATCATTATGGTAGTAACCAGATCTAAGTATGATACCGGCTCGGACGTCGCCCGGGTTAACAAGGTCCGCGTTCGTGGGTTAGGCAGAGGCTCACGTTCGAAAAATAGGCTCCAGTCTCCCTTGGTTACCGGTGGCGAAAGCAGCGCCGGCCCAAGCATGGCTACTGCAATGCCCTCAACAGATGTGAGGAATCAACCTAGCCTTGGTGTTTCTGTGGCAATGCATCCACAGACCACAAAGGCTGGAAAACCACGCCAACGGATGAAATGGACAACAGAAATGAACGAGTTTATCATCCGCACTTACTACACCATCACAAGACTCGAAACAAACATGACAGCATACAGACAACAACTACACCATAGATTCACACAACAATATCCTCACCTCACTGTCACCGAACAAAGGGTTGTCGATCAAAAAAGAACAATTATAAACAACAACCTTATCCCACAAACAACACTTGAACTTATCAAACAACAGGTTGCTGATCAAATACATCAACAGACAGAAACATTTAACATTAATGAAGATCACGTAACCTGTCAGGATAATCCAGCAACAAGCATTGATAATAGCACACATACAACTACCATTAATGATACTACAGACACTTCCTCATCCATCACTGATAACATAGACATAGATTTAGTTAATACACTCTCACTTATATTTCAGGAAACACTCACTAAATATACTGGTACAGATCCCACACAAAGACCACGAATACCAAAAATCAACACATCAAAGGTAATAGGAAAAACACTAAATTATGTAAACACTCACTACCACACTAAATCCATTTAATTTCTACACTCTCAGACATTCATATATTAGTTTATGCTGGGGCAGTCACAGTAGTGACACACCATGGACTGAAAATACAATTGCAGATAGACACACACAAACACAATTCTATCACAAGCTTGCCTGGCAGAGAAGAATAAAAACACAAATAAACAACATTAGACAGCAATTAGGCAGGCTGACACAATACACTAAAAACAACATAACACCCAAATTAAAGAAACAACTCAAAAACATTTTCAAGAAAATCAAAACACACACAAAACATGAACATCACAACACACACATTACAGAATACATCGACACACTGAAACAAAAACTCACAGCCAAAGCATGTAGACTCAAATGATACAAAACATGTACACTACGAAAACAACAAAATAAATTATTCACAAACAATGAAAAACTTTTCTACAGACAAATCAGTACCAAAACAAACACCGATACACAGCACAGTGGCACACCAACAGAAGAAGAACTCACAACTTATTGGTCTTCTCTTTGGTACAATGCTGTTACACACTATGCTGATGCAGACTGGATCGAGGAGGAGAACAGAAATTTGCACAACATACCAACTATGCCCTGTGCTGAAATAAATGTAAACAACATTCGCTACGCTGTTAACAGAACACACAACTGGAAGACACCTGGTGTAGACAACATTCACAATTTCTGGTACAAAAAATTTACATCACTGCACCAGGAACTAGCCAAACATCTAACACACATCATCATCAATCCACAAGACATGCCAAAATTTCTTACTCAGGGCATCACCTAAATGAAACCTAAAAACAACAACACTACAGACCCCACACAATACAGACCAATTACATGTCTTCCAACACTCTACAAATTATTGACATTCTGTATCACAAACAAAATATACAAACATGTTGAAGAACACGATATTCTTACAGAACAACAAAAAGGTTACTGTAGAAATCACAGGGGATGCAAAGAACTCATAGATTCAGTCATTCTACGGCAAGCACACAAACAACACAGAAGCATACACATGGCATATATAGACTACAGAAAAGCATTCGACAGTGTTCCACACAGTTGGCTGCTACATATTCTACACATGTACAAAATACATCCATCACTCATTGCATTCTTCCAAAACACTATGCAGCACTGGAGAACAACACTGCATCTCAGGGTTAGAAACACTATATTCATACATATGAGGATATTCCTGAATACAGACACTGAGACTGACACTGACACACTTATTTAATTTTAGTTTTATTTTGGTTGCTATGCCTTGACTCTGGTCCAGCATAGTACACTGCCACTGGTGTGAACCGAGTATAACCCACTAAACACAATAATAGTAATATATAAGTTTTTAAAATAAAACAAATTCTTTGAATGTTTAGAATAATTTTTTTTCTTATTGTTTTGAAATTATTCTTTTATGTTTGTAACTTAAAGATAATATTTATTAAACCAGATAGAGAAAAATTCATTTCTGCTTTTAATAAACTGTTGGATTTTTAAAGATATCATTTTGGACATATCTTCAAAACTTTACAGAGAATTTATGAATTTTATGAGAAGGACAACAATTAATGCATTATGGCTTAATAAGGATATGCAGTGTTTCAAGATTTTGGCTCTGAAATTTATAGATGCAATCCAACTATATTTAAGCTACTAGAGCTAATGGTAAAGATTCTATAGATAGAAACTTAGTTTCTGGAGTATACATTAACCAGTATGTGATGATAGATTTAATAGAAAGTTAACATACATAGGCACCACTAAAAGATCATTAACCCAAAGGCTCAGGGAACATAAATATGATGTTTGTACAAATAGTCTATCTACAGTTCTTGCCCAATCTACACATTTTGTAATTTCATTTTTTTATGAATTTTCCAAACTCTTCTGGTGCCTTTTATTCATTCACAAAAATGTGCTCCTCTGAATATGCCTTTTTAGTACACAATGGGTGTTTGGATGATAGACTCATTTTATGATCTGTGAAAAAGGCAGTCTTCTACAAGTTTTTATACCTTATTAAATTCAATAAAATAGCAATAGATGAATGTATTGATTTCTCAGATTTAAAAATTTTAGAAAACTTCCAAATTTGGTCTTTTCTGTGTTCCATGAACTACGTTCTCTCATTTTTTCCACTATCAATGTCATTTAAATATAAGACTCCTAGTAATATGTATGCTCTTCAGGCAGCAGACTTACCTTTATTCAATACCTATGTGAGGGACGAACAGACCCACAATAAAGTGTTATTTTAAATTTTAATTTGGAAAATATAATCGGTTAAATTCGAATGTTTTATCGAGTTAGGCTAAAAGCCATAAAATTTATTTCCCACGGAGGTTGTTCCTTGTTGAGTCGAATCAAGTTAGTCAGGGATGTGTCACCAGGAACTTTTGATGGAGAATCCATATTGGACGTGCGACCGTTAAAGGCCATCACCTGACCTCATGGAAAAAACCCAAGAGGAAAAAAAAAGAGAAAAGAAAACGATCCCGAGGTCAGTCGTCATCCGAAGTCCCTCTACAGAAGTCGTCATTCAAGCCCGCCCAACCAAGTCGTCCTCCAAACCATTAAAACCGTGCCCCAGGATTAAAACCGTAACACCGAATTAAAACCGCGACCAGGATTAAACCCGAGAAAAACATTCGTGCTGGATTAAGCCTCTACACTCCTCCGTGCCTCCACCCCAGTGAACGGACAAGATTCTGATTCAAGATTCAACGACAAGATTCAAAGAACTGTCCATCAAAGAACTGTCCATTCAAGATTCAAAGAACTGTCCATCGACAAGGTATTTATCAACCCGCGATTCGGTTGTAAACTCTCTCTCTCCGCGGCCTAGTATAGTTAAGGACAATAATATGCCGATAGTATTTAGTATCTCTGTATAGTATTTAGTTCGACTTAATTAAAATCGTTATTTACTTGTTACTATGGAGTCCGAGTAAGTTACTTCCGCGTCTCTCTCCTCACCTCTACTCCGAATCCAAGCGCTCACACGCTACCGCTCGCGAATCTTTAGACGTAACGTCGCGATTTCCGAGTCCCCCAGAGACTCGGTGGTGTCAGATTCAGTCCTCCTGACAGGGCGCCAAAGAGGTGCCGACCCTACGGTCACAGTGGTGTCAGAGCGGGATAGAATTTAGAAACGACCCTAGATAACTCGAAAAAAAAAAAAAGAAAAATGGAGACAAGAGGTGAAGGTCGGGCGCGAGGAGAGACAGCAGGAGGTGCACGAGCAGAGCCCGCGGGAGGAGCCGCGCTAGGCGGATTAGGGGGCATGATTCCGTTGATACCTTCCTTTGCGGGGGACACAGAGGGCCTTAAGGTCACCGATTTTTTTGAGTCTTTAGACGAAATCGCAAAATTAACGAGTTGGAGTAAAGCACAATGTTTAGGAATCGCAAAGTTAAAATTAACGGGGATAGCCCGAGAATTTGCATGGAAGGATGCAAAGATGCAGGAGGTGGTGACGTATGAGGAGTTCAAGAAACTCATGATTAAGCGATTTGATAGAGAGCCAATTTCTTTACGTTTACAAAAGTTCCATGCCTGTATCCAAGGGCGAGACGAAGATGTACAAACCTATGCCGTGCGATTACAAACCCTGGTAAGGGATACGATGGTAGAACAAACTAGCGGGGATGCGCAGGAAAGGGAAGTTATCAAAAGATGTCAACAGAAAGAGAGGGATGAAAGATTGCTGGTGCAATTCCTCAGCGGCCTAAATGAGCGTATAAAAAGACAAGTGATGTCGCGAGATCCGGAGACATTCGATAAGGCGGTGCAGGCAGCCATCAGCGAGGAG